TATATATATATATATATATATATATGAGTGACTCAGACAAAGATGAGAATGTGTGCCCAGTGCTGAATAACCACCGTCATGTGAGCAGCACTCGTGAAAAGTGGAAGTGAAAGTGCAAGACAGTTTCCTCTAAGCATTTTAGATGAAAAAAAGCCTGTCATTCCATAAGGAAAAAAAAACCCAACAAGAATGACATCAACGTGCGTCGTGTGTAGAGTTGCTTCTTCTGAGGGTCAAGGCAAAAACAGATGGTCAAGTGTGGGCCAATACATACCCTGGTCCACTGACACAACATTCTGCTGTAGCACCATGTGAGTTTGGACGTGTGTGTGTTCACCTGGACGATGAAGGTCTTGTCCTGGAAGCCAGGGGTCAGGCCCAGCATGCTCATGTAGGACGCCTCATTGATGAAGTTCTCGATGCCGTGGAAAACTCCACGACCAGTGGCTGAGATACGTCCATGGATTCCTCCCTGACTGATGGGTTTTCCTGTCACACATGCATGGGCGTTGATGTCCTGCAGGCACAATTGAAATGTTAGACGACAATACACGGCAAAATGTAGGATATTATACAAGCTACCTCCACTATGGGTAATGGGATGCATTAGGTTCTAGAGGAGCTTTAGTGGAATCAGCAGTGCTAGCCAAAAATGCCTCAAGTAAGACAAATGTCACCCTATCTCGTTGCCTTTTCTGATTAGAGGCCAATTAAGTCAGAAAGAAATACATTGTGTTTTGTGATTATTCTGAAAACCATAACAGGAATCAAATATCCTGGATTCTTTCTTTTTGGGTAGCTTTCCATCTGCTAAACAGGTTGTGATCGGAGGGATGTTGACCTTAACAGACAACACAACAGTAGAACTTCTTGTCATTGTGACACAGCGCACCACTGCACAAAACCACATGTGACTTCAGCTTTGGAACAGGGAGCAGTGTGTGGGGTACCTCAGTGGTAACTTTGCAACTTTGAACCTGAATCCTTTCGGACCCAAGTCCACTTCCTTAACCACTAAGCTACCACTGCAGTAAGAGGACTGTAAAGCAGCGCTTTGGAAAGCAGGAATCTCTCTGGTCAAATGGGAAGGGAGAGGCAGGAAACCACTGTTCATAGTTTACATATGAGTCATCCCCTGATTTTTTTTTTTTTTTTTTTTTTTTTTTTTTTATTTGGACTGTTCTGAGGCTGGTACCAAAAGGCCGCCAGATAAGGCAGATTGGTTCAGTATGTCTGAGAACTCACAGTGTGTGCAATTGTGTTGGCATAGGTGTCAGCGATCCAGGACATTTCCCTCTCTCCTGTGCTCATGTCTGGAGCAGGGACATCGATGCCAGGTCCTGGTGGAGGAAAAGAACAAAATGAATGTCGACTAACAAAACCACAAAACACAGCAGAGCCCTAAAGTCAGATGTGAGCACCAGGGTGTGAGTCATCACACTGCGTTCTCAAGTATCTTGTCTACTTGTTCTCACAGAAACTGAATTTTCAGGAAGAAGTAGTTTGATAATGTTACACTTTATTTTGTCTAACACCAAAGAACACTCAGGTGTCAACAAACACAATGTCAGTCACTGATACCACCTGAAGAACACTGTCCACATGGGCTGTAAAGCTCTCTGGCCTGAAGGTAAATGCTTTTTAAACTTTATTAGATTGAAACTATTTATTTTGCAGATTGTACTCTTAGGTTTCTACTAAAACCACACATCTACTTTTTTCATGAATTCACTTATTCAGAGTACAATCTTCAATTCTTATTTTCAGCCTTCTCTCCTTTGTAAATCAGCTTCAACTCCCTCCAACTCCCTTCTGCCCTCGTTTCCCTGCTCAGTTGACACAGTCACGCCCTGACATACCCCGAACAGAGTAAACAGCAGAATGAATGGAGGCAATGTTTATCATGTCAGTGGAAATATCAATCAACACAGCAAATGACAGAGTAAAGGTTGTATTTTTCCCGCTGATTCTTTTTTTTTTTTTAATTCAACTCACCAATGAAACCCTTCTTGGCCAGCTCAATGGTAAACCTCCTGGTGATCTTCTCCAGCTCATTATCCTGCAGGAAGAAGCAGAAGTTCAGGGAAAAGCCTGTCAGTCCTGCAGTATTTCCTTTAAAATGTAACTGTGACCCATATAGCTAAAGTTTAAGCTATTACAAACCATTAATCCTTTAGTCACACTACAGTTCGTGTAACTAAGATTACCACGAAGGGTTAACAAGGATCTTGTTTAAATACTGACACATTTTCTAATCTTGTTTTCTCTTTTTTGTTCCCATCATCATTTGGGGGACATGAATACTGAAACTCAGAAGACGAAGAGTGAGACCACAGCCTCGTCAGCTGCATTCTGGAAAGACTGAATCACCCTGTGGGTTTGTTTGGATTTAGGAAAAGTGACTCAGAAGACTAAACGTTCCTTCAGTGACTGCAGGCCTTGTGGCTGTTGATTTTGGTGCAGTTTTACTATAAGCTCGACTGTACAGAATCTAACATTTCTGTGCAACTCTACATACGAGTGTAAATGTGGGAGGGAGGGGTTTGAAGGGCTTACGGAGTAATTCTTTGGGTTGATCTTGACTCCAGCTTTAGCTCCTCCAAATGGCACATCTGGAAAAAAAAGATAGAATTATATGTATTCTTATGACATAAAGACAGAAAACAAATCTACTGACTAAATGTAAAAACCAGCAGCCATGTCCTGATCCTTTTAAACATTACAGACCAGAGAGTCTGGGGGTTGCTGCCCACTTACAAAGACAAAAGAAAATTAAAAAAAAAAGGGGGGGGGGCACCAAACAACCAGAAGCCTACTTGCCTACTATATACAAACTTATTAAGATCAGGTAAGATCAATTCAAGTGGAGACATTTAAAATGACAAGAAATGCAGTTTTAATAAGGTTGACAGATCAGCAGATTAACAGCACGAAGCTTTGTGGTCAGCTTAGACTTAAATACTTACCAACAACGGCACACTTGTAGGTCATCAGAGAAGCCAGGGCTTTCACTTCATCCACACACACATCAGTACTGTAACGGATACCTAAGGAAATACAAATACAGAACAGTCTATATTTAAAAAAAAAAAAGAAACCTATTTTTTAGCCGTGGCTTGGAAATTGCTAAGACATAAAGGGCGAGGGGATTTGAGTTCCTTAAAAGATTTGAGTGCATGTCAAAACAACAAAATCAATGTCGTACGAGGAGCACAGAGTCATAGCAACATTGATGTGTGGATAGAGACGAGGTTAGCCAACTACAACTCTCTACTCTGACCACAGCCCATCAGCTACTGCCATGTCTTCCTGTTGTGTCAGATTTACTATTGTTTCCATGGTAGCATGTGCAGGGCTGTGAAACATGACATTATATACCCAGTAGCTGGGCTACACCCACTCAGGCTATAAGTTCTTACTGGTCCACGGTGTCTCTGTATGAGTGAGGATGAATGTATAACATAAAATACAAACACCTGAAATTAAATCACGACGTGTGACTGTTTAGAAGTAAAAACAAAGAATCTTAATTATCTCCATGTGAAGCTCTGACCTTCTCAGTCCTACTACGTCTATTTGTTTAACTGAAATGACAGCCTTTCATCACCACTCCAATTATTAATCCAATATAAAATGACAGGGTGGAAATGCACCAAAGACCAGGCACAGAGTGCTGCTGTGGTTCTTCCTTCATCATCATTATTCACTGACTAAATAACAACCTCCGGAAGAACAAGGACAATCTTGTGAGCTGTGTAATAAAATAACAAGGGAAAAAAAAAAAGGCTGACTGTCTGCCCCACCCCCATCTTCACATCCATTTATCCAACCCAACACAGCAACAAGAACCCAAAGAGATCAGAGTCAAAAACACATTCTACTGAATTAGAGATTACATTCTTCAGAACACAAACTGGGCCCACACTAAAGTTCTGACTCAGAATGAGTCACAGAAGAGACGGCCAGACTTTTGACATTGACTTGAGGTCACCTGTGCTCGTGTCGGAGGAAAGTCACAACTCCTTGACTCGACTACGACACTGACAAACACCAAGGCATGCAGGCAGAGCCAAGGCGGGGCCAGCTTCTTAGAGTACTACCTGTGGTAAAAGCAGGTATTGTAAGAGTATAAAAGATCATAGACCACAGGTGGTCTCAACCACTGAAGATGTATTTCTGATAGGACACAGCTTCTGCAATGCTGTCTAATCAACCTCTGGTATTAACAAACAACAACTATAGGTTTTATGGTCCTTGTGATTAAGACCAGTCCTCCAAGTGCTACATTGTGTAAGGCTGTAAATGCTAGAAAAGGGACAGAGTGTGCTTTGACAGAAACGACCTTTGAACTATGTAGTTTGATCTGGACATTATTAATGATTAAAAGCACTTTTTTCTCCCATTGCCCAGTGTCCATTATATTCAACTTAACTTATCTTGATGACCATGTGAGTCTTGTTGACCATGCTTTTTAGATCAATACCTTCAGTTTAGTAGAACTCTATAAACCTTATGTGAAGGACAAGAGCGAGCAGGCCGGGAGGGTGGTCTGTAGCAGCAGTTAGGACTTTAATAGTGTGTTGTTTCACACAGGAATATTACTAGTGACTAGTGAGGCTAAGGGTTGTATCAATGAGTGTACCTCAACAATGTCTGATAACTTTTACTGATATTTTTGTAGTCCACAAAATGGAGAAGCGATAAATTACACTATCAGTTTCTGTATTATGTTACTTGACACTCTTTGTTTATACTTCTATTATACTTTATACAGTTTATACTTGCACAACAATATCAACCACTGTTTTCCGACAGTACTTTACTGCTTGTTGTGTACAGTCAAAGTAACTCATTTTGTGTAGCGTGACATGCCTTCCTAGAATAGACCAACAGTGTGCCCACTACATTAAAGCACGTGTGGTTGCAGGTTTCACAGTGTTAAATACCAGGCCGCTGTTGTCCCATATCATCCCAGCATGCACTGACTGGCTGGTTGAAGAGGACCCTCCCCCACCTGTCACACTGCTGACAAATAGGAGGGCCTACAAACATAACCACCCTTTCTCCATGCCTCATGCCTTTTATCTTCCAATGTATTACTTCCCTATATGTCTACCCAGAGTGCACTGCAGCAGCAACATTCTTCCTTGAACCTTGAACTCTGAACAAATGTACATACATCAAACAGCATATGGTGTGACAACTCGTTTACTCCAACAACCGTCTTCTGGTGGCACATAAAATATTCTGTGTTTGCACAGAGCCTCTCATACTTCTTTATATTCTCATGGTTCTCCATGTTGACTGACCAGTGCATGGCCAGAGGTTTTTCAGTGATGAACAATTACATGTGTGCTTACCTAAGAATACCTCCCTTTAAATGTCCCAGTTGTTTATTTAAGTTACCTTGTTACACATTGTTGTTTACACATCAGTGTGGCTGTTATGAACTAAATCTTCAGTTTAAATTTCAAAACACTTCCTATGATTAAAGCTGACCTTTTACGTCAAACTTAATCTGGTTATGAATCATATACATTACGCCAAATTATCGTAATCAGCTGTATCAAATGTATTAACGAGAACCAATGACAGCAACACAAAATATCTAGTTTTTAAAGGCAACACTCTATATGCTACATTCAGTCACAGTTGTCTCGGATGTTGGGAAGATATACACGTGCATTTAAAAAGTACAACTGTGCCGTTGGTTAGCTCTAATAAAGCCACTGTTGTTGTGCTAAAAGGTGAGCTAAAAGAGCAGCTGTTGACAGGAGCAGCTGTGTCTTTTTTCGGCTTCACGTGAGCTAACGTGACTGCTAACGGATGCTAAGTAGCTGCCTGTAGCTAACCGTTAGGATCGTTCAGGGACATCAGGTTCGGTTCTCACCTCCTTTGCAAGGTGTTCTGTGCTGGCTGTGCTGGGCACGGTAGCCCTCCACCACCTCCCACTCTCCGTTGTCCCTCTTGATGGGGAACGACACACTCAGGACGTGGTTGCAGGGCTTGATGATGCCCAGGATGCCCCGCACTCGGTGTCTCTTCTGCTCGGGAGTCTCCCTGGTCTTCAGGTCCTCCACCAGCTTGTCCTCCACGATGGCGGCGCCACGGTCGAAGAAGCCTTCCACCATCCTGAAGAAGTTGGGGTCATCGGGCTGGTCCGCTGCGTCGGCATAGTGACGAACCCGCATCAGAGATGAGGACACCGGGAGAGCGGAGTCCACGCAGCCCGAGGCCAGGGCGCTCCCCGCAGAGCGACTCAGAAGCTCCCCAAAATACCGATACATGACTGACTGGCAGTAAGGACGCACAAATAACAAAAATAAACAGAAAGAAAACAACACAGACAATGGGGCTAAAGACAGGAGAGGGGAGAATGAGCGTTGCAGCGACTCCTCACTGAGTCACGTCCTCTGGCCGAGTGAGCAATGACATGCTGCTGTTTGCTTTAAAAGGCAGCACGACTCTCACTCAGGCTCCTCGGATCACACGCGGAAGCAAAGGACCAATCAAAGGACGCACGCAACCGAGCACGAGAGACCGTGCGCGCTCCGAGCATTGACGTCAAAATCAGTGTTGTCATTTTATTTACTCAACAAAAAGTCTCTGAATTGTCTTATTCATGACTCTTGCTGACTTATATTTAAAGGTTTTAGATTTAGAATACACTGTATAACTTCAGCAAAAAACTTATAAAGATGAGCTGGAGACATGACAGGATGCAGTGATGCAACAAAAGGATGTCAACGGCAATAAAAAGCAAAAGCAGACAACAACAACAAAAGCAAGACGATAACTCTAATAAGTGTAGACCACTATGAGGTGTATTCTTGGGAAATGGGCACCTGTCTATGTAATCATACATTAAACAGACACCTTTATAGGAATGTCTGCATGCAACTTTGCAACAGATTAATTATTGTTGCTGTCATGTTGGTTGCAGAGTAGTCATTCATTAGCTTGGGTACAGCAACAACCGTGTTAGAGACGTGTACTTTGAGGCTGTTTATCAGTCTCAGTCTCCTGATCTGCACAATGACTGACAGTCGTGCCAGAAGAAAAATTCACGATAGTTTGAGTTGATCTCAGCAGATCTGGAGTAGTTTGTGATTCAAAAGCTCATATCATTTTTACTGGACATAAACTTATCCTAGTATATCTTCAGACTATTAGTCTGAATGCCAAAAAACAACATTCCAAAAAAGGTTTCTTCACTTTTGAATATAATACATAATTATTAAGACTTAACAGGATGAGTCAGTATGTCCCTGTAGAGAAGGGACCTCAGCACAGAGTGATTTTTACAATAACACTTTATTAACAGTAGGTGTAAAAACTGTAAAGAGACAGTCAACACATTCATTTAGCTGTCCCCCATATAGATATGTATTGTAGTTATTCTAACATTGTGTAACATATGTGATGCATGTTAATTTTGCAAAATGATTCATTTTCAAATATTCATAGTATAGCTATTCAAGTAAATCAATAACGAAAAAATCTTTATGGCCTGACAATAAATATCATACCACATTAGTGCTCAGCTCATCTGACTGGAGGCCCTAACCTGTGACCTTACAACCACGGACTCTGCTCTGCACAGCAGATAAGATTAGATGCCTTTCTTGTACTGTTATACTATGACATTTATAATGGAGCAGTTGCACAGTAGAAAAAAGACGAATTTATTTCATGTCTGCATGTCTGCTGCAGGATTGTAAGGTCAGGTTGTAAATTTGATCTGAACATCCTGCTTAGTCTCTGTGATATCAGAGGGACAAAAACAATCAATAACAACTGTGTTACACATCTCAACTGGCACAAGGACAAGATAGATGTCAGTTCTTTTAATGCAATAAAGGAAAAGCTTATGACACTGATTACTACTGGGCTGTTAGGCTCTTCCTGTCATCAAAAGGCTATATCTAAGGTGATAATGGAAGACACACAGAAGGACACAGAGAGCCGTTTCAATGACAAATAAAGTGTCAATAAAGACAAATAAGTGTCAGAAATTTGAAGGAAAAAAAACATCCTTAATCTAATTTTTATTATTTTAATTAAGGTTACCTTTAGTTGTTGGATTGTGAAAACAATCTGAATTATTACTCTAATTTACAACCGTGGTTCTTTCTTTCAGATAATTCTGACATGGTTGCACATTTATTAGAATGAATGTGAATATCTGAAAATGCTCATTCCCATTCATGAACCTGATTGCAAACGCTGACCTGTCAGAAATATATCAGTGGGAGAACTTTAAACTCTGATTCAAAGTCCACTTTCAGCTGTTTTTCTTCTTTATTTATTTATTTTTTTGTTGTGCTAAAATTGTCATTAATCACATAACATGTCTAAACATTGCTAACAATAAACATTTCAAAACGATACAAATGAATTGTATACAATTACATTTTTTTAATCTAATGTTCAACTTTGGTGTCTCTTCTTGACAGCTTCGTTGACTCTCAGTGTTCTGACAAACATCTCATGCCTCGGAGGGTGACACCTGTCGTGCCATTGGCTCACAGCCTGACAACTCCCACCCGAGCGTGTATGTGGGGGGTGTGTCTGGGTAGAGGGGTGGTGGTAAAAGACAGAGAGGTTGACAAATGTTCACACAGGTCACATGGCGGGTTCAGTGGAAACGCATGAGAGCTCTGCAGAACAGACAGCGTTGTCCTGTCTGTCTGTGGGTGAAGGTCATGAAAGGTTACTGTCAAACAGGAATACGTGATACGAATGACCTTGTTTATTTATTCAATCCACCCTCTCTACCTCACACTGGGCCAATCTGAGTATCTGAAACAACACTGAGTGACGCAAATTTACCTCGGTGGCTGCAAAGGTCACCTTGAAAACAACAGTTAATGTCAGACAACAAAGACAAGAGACGCTGAACAATTCGATATCTTTGGGGCAAAGCCTGAAGTCAGTAGGACACAGCATTTCAAATATTAAAATGTAAGGGTATTTGAAGATAAAAGCTGACTTTCAAAAGTAAGAGATTTGGGATACAAAAAACAGAACTCAAACTACGGTTCACAGATGCTACTCATAGTTTGTCAAAATATTTAAATAAAGCTTGAATTTGACATTTGTCAACATTTATGCTCTTGCAAAAGCCAACGAAAGACAGGGATGTGATGTTTACAACAAGGTGGATTCTATAATAAAACATTCCTCATGTCCACACATCCTGAGTTAACTCAACATTTAAAAAGCAAACGTGTGCTTTAAAAAAATTAATTGAATTACTTTCACAGCCATAGCTCTGCTGGCTAGGACGCACCACTGCAGCAGGTGAATTTAGAACTCAGCTTCAACACTAGATGGCGCAAGTTCTTCATGCAGCAAAGTCACAGGATAAAGCATAGTACAGTACTCGTATTTAACTCAGACCTGTAAATATATATATATACACATATATACAGACCATATCCAAAAAAAATAGAATATCATGGAAAAGTTTATTTATTTTCAGAATTCCATTCAAAAAGTTAAACTTTCATAGATTATAGATTCAGGGCCCACAATTTAAACAATTTCAAGTATTTAGTTGTTTATTTTTACATAATTTGGGCTTCTAGCTCGTGAAACCCACGGAAACAGGAACTCAAAAAATTAGAATACTGTGGAGAAATCACTATTTACTTCTCAGTTTTTGCAGAAAAAAAGAAAGAAATTAGGATCACATCAAATCAATCAAAATATGGTATTTTCAAAACGACATGTCAATCTTCAGTACTTGGTTGGGAATCCCTTTGCCGTAATCACTGCCTCAATGCCTATAATGTTTGTTATTGTTAGCAATAAGGTAAGCAATATCTCAACATTTCTATCCTTATCATTGGTGCATGACATTAATAAAACAATAGTTTTGAAGACTATAAGAATATGTATTCTGGGGTTGGAGTTCATTGTATTTAGGGGTTAGGACTAGGGTCATAGAAGCATATGTTTTGCAGATGGTTATGGCTAGGACAAAGAGCGAGGAAAGGCCTCAGTGTGAGTGTGTGTGTGTGTGTGTGTACGTGCGTGTGTTAGTTCAGATGGCAAGAGGTAAAAAGTTGAGAAAGTTCTCATGAGAATTTTGCACTCTGCTGCCTTTTCAGGAAGCTGTGGCTTCAACTTGTGTCTGCTTACGTCTCATCAGCAAATTGAATAATGTTTGTGACCCACAGTAGGATGTCAACTCCACGTGTCAGGTGGCCCAGACGGAAACCTCAAAGGAAGTAAGGTCAGATCCAGATCAGTCAGGAAAAAGTCAAACCACCAACTTGTTTCATTTTTCACCATGTCAACTGTCTGTTTGGCCGAGTCTACAGTTTGAGTTCTCAGATTTATTTTAGGAACACAAGAGTTGCGGTGCTACTGTACAATGTCACAAAACAACAATTAGATTACACTGTAATAAATCAAAACAGAAGGATTAAGTGAGTGGCGTGTTACCAATTGTAAATAATTAAACAAATCTGACAGCACAACAGACTAAACGGAATTTTATTTTATAGTTTTTGATTAAATGGACTATTTGGAATATCTCTTGACATAATCTTTTATTTTATTGAATATTTCCAGGTGTAAGATATTCTAAATTTCAAAATATTTTTTTTTTAAATATCACAAGGATTTTGTGATGGAGGTAGAACAGTTTCTCCATTCGCTGCCCAAGGAATCCTCAGAATATTACTAACTTTTTCAGCTAAAACGTCTTTTGAAAGTCTGGTCCACAGAGAGCTGCAGGGACGGCTCCTCTACCCCACTGTAAGACACAATAATGCAGAATTAAACCCATGTATACTGTATACTTGTTCCTTTTTATATTTACTATGTAACAACAGAACGGTGAAAAACCAGCAGATAATCATGTAAAGGAAAGCAGAACTAGTACACACACACACACACACACGCACACACACCTGAGAACATAGGTCACACAGAGGATGCAGAGGGGCTGATGAGAGCCTCTGTGTCTGGACCTGGAGGGGTGGATGGTGGGGATGACAGCACTGTGAGTCTCCACCCAGACGTAACCTCCACCTCTGACCAACAACCTGTACTGACTGCTGACAGACTGACTCTTCCAGCACACTGCAGACAGAGGGAAAACTGGTTAATACTGGTCTGTCAGTGAGTGTGAGGATGATTTTGACTTGTATACTGTGAGAAAACTAATTTGCAGGACTCGGTTTAGGGGACAGGACCAGGGTCAGGATCAGAGTCAGGGCCATGTTTTTCAGATGTGTGTTTGTGTTTGTTACTTACAGTTCAGATGGTTTTGGCTCAAAGAGTTTGTGTCCAGCGTGTGACAGAGGTCGTAGATGGAACGACCCTGCAACTCTGCAGAGGTGTAACCTAACAGCACTGTCACCCTGCAAAAACACAAAAAGGACTCTTTCTTAATGTTTCCTTCGTCTAATGCAGGCCTGGGCAAACTTTTTGACTTTGATAGGTTCTAAAATTTGACACGGGGGCCGGCCCAGGAGCAGTTAGATGGAGTGTTTGTGTAACATAAGATAAATGACAGTTAAAAGTCATGCCTAAAGGCTTAAATGCTTTTAGCCTTTTCTACGGCTATTGGGGAAATGTTGGTATTGCAGGCAAAAGTCAGATGTATAATGATAATAGAAATGAATAGTATAATGGACAAGTTTGACGGGCCGGATTAAAATGCCAAACGGGCCACATCCGGCTCATGAGTGTACAAAATCGCCACCTGTGTTTCATTATAAGCCACTAAAGGAAACCTTCCATACAAGTGCAGTACATGTGAGAGTGTTTTAATGTGAATCACCTGTGGTCACAGTATGTGAACCTCATATCCATGCTGTGCTGACTGGTGAAGGTGTGTGAGCTGAGGAGTGTGTGTGACAGAGGCAGAGGCTGGCAGGTTAGCAACAACCAGGGAACTGAAGAGGGAGCTGCACAACCATTCAGCCGACCCTGACAGTGCAGAACCTGAAAGCACACCATTCCACACGTCATACTTAAAAAAAGAAAAAAAGAAATAAAAGCCTTGAGAGACTCTTGTGATGCTTTGTGGTCTTCACAAGTCTTTGTCTCTCACCTTCCACATGGCTGATTTCAGGTTGCTATTTCTACCTCTGTTAGTCAAAGCACTTTTAATTCTCATGACAAAGTCTCTTTTCTCACCACACCAGACGTCCCCTAGAAAAACAGACACGTGACATCAGATCTGTAACTTTTGTATAAAAAAAAAAAAGGAAGCCAGGAAATACGGTCACACACTTCTAGACACACACACACACACACCTGGCATTTGGCGTAGATTGTTTCTGATTTCTTCGTGGTCACAGGGGTGAGTAAAGTCAAAGATATTGTGTCCCATCAACTCAGTCTGAGAAGAAAAAACACAGTGTGCGCGTCCGTGTGTCAGTTGATCAGTCCATCACCAGGTCATGTACAGCAGTTCATACACTACAGACACTCTGAACTGAGGTGATCCTCAGACCTTCAGTATACTTCAGCTACTCTGTTGACACTTCCACCATGGTAAACGGTTGATGGAGGAACATCGTGTTTTAGAATAGAATTATCACTATGTTAAAACAAACTAAAAACTATTCCTGAAGCCACTGACACTGTCCGTGGTGTCTGTGTCCTGGTAATAGTTCTTCAAATCTAGTGATTCAGTTGCTCAGTGTTTGAAGCCTAGTTCAACTTCTCAACCAAGACTGGGTTTTCACTTTTGGTATGCAGTGGAAAAAGCCAGTACATTCAACTGTCAGTCTGTGCTGACTGCACTCCAGTATCATAACGGTCATCGTACTGTAGGTGTGAATGGATCCACCAGCTTTGTGGCTTTTTTAAAGGTGGAGGACGAGGACCTCAGGTGTGCACTAAAATGTTACAATTCTCACTTAAGTATATTCTTTATTTGTTCCACGTTGAGATGATTAGTAGTTTTAATGTTATTCATTCTAACAGAACTTTATAGAAATCAAAGCATACAGTTCAGTGTTTTTTAAAGCAATGCTGTAGCTGTGAAAGTGTCACACTAATGTACAGACCTACGTTTTTTTTTTTTTGGTATCTGTGGAGAAACACGTGAGTGTCTGTACCTGTGACAAGCCCATGTATTTGCTGACGTTGTCAGAAAGATAGATGATGTCTCCATGTGCTGTCAGGACCATGAGGAATCCCTCCAGAACGCTCAGAATCATATCTGTCTCCTCCACAGTTTTCAGTTCCTCTGTCTGTGCAGGCTCCACATCACCACATCCTCCATCACTGCTGCTTCGCTGTTCTTCCCCACCATCCGACAATCCAGCGAACGGTGGGAGCGTGTGGCCGTTCTCTACATTTCTATCTGTGTTTTCCAGAGGAAAAAAAAAATTCATTAAAAGTACAATAAAAACATTGCAAAAACATAACAATTTTAAAAAACAACACTTGAGTGGAGGTTATATATTAATATATATAACATAGTATACTGTATAGAGATAAAAGATTACATTAAATTCATATTGTGTCAATTCATCAATTCATTTGTCATTTTAACGGCATGTACAGTATTTAAAGATAACTTACCTTTCAACAGTGTGTGCATACGTATGTAACTGAGTGTGAGGCGAATGATGGACGGCTTGTCCAGACTCTTTTGGACAGAGGGCTGGACCGGCAGGAGCTGGGACAAATTTCCAAACACATCAGACTCCACTCGTCGTCTCTTTTTGGCTGCCTCCCGGCTGATCGCTCTGCAGAAGTCGAACGGTAAAGGACCAAGAGCAGTGTCAGAGACATTTAAGCTACAGTAAAATGACATTTTAACGATCAATAACCATTTCCCCTATTCCATCTTAATTTGAGAACTATTGTTCTACTGAGGGTCATGGCTAAAAGCACACGCTTTGGTGTTTGACGTGTGATTTTTTCTTTTAGGCTGTTAAAAAAGGTTATATCTCTTCACATGTAAGTGGTATATAATGATGATACTACAGTTGAGTACGTAGATCTTAGTGATTTAAGTACTTATCTGTTCAAAGAAAAACATTTGGGGTCAACAGGAAAAGGACATTTTTAATTGAAATAAGGTGAAAAAGAGGAAGTTTTCATGATCTAAAATATAATAGTGATTTCACAATCAATGATTCGGGTGGCATGGATATTTTACTGACCTTTGTCTTCAACGTTATTGCAAATTTGAGAGATTAAAGTCAATTTATATATTTATTTTTTCATGTAGTTAAATTTCTCCCAGTAGAATGACTATTTATTAAAAAAAAACAGAATTTTGATATTAACTTTTTTTATGGAATAACATTTTCTAAATGTTATCCATGTATCATATTCAAGCCCTTCTAAATCAAGCTGCCGAACAAACGTACCTTCTCTTCTCCTTGTCTGCTGTCATGGTGTCCAACAGGTGTCTGTACTCAGTGTCATAATTAAGAGCGACTCAGATGAAGTGAAGATGGAGGCAGCAGGACTTCACACAGCAGCATGAGATCACTCCACTCTCTACACCTCACCAACGGCGGAATAAATGTCGTGCCAAATGTCAGCAGAGCGGATAGCACAGATGACTGCATCAGCCAGTGTCTCCCCTCCTGCATGAGCATCAGCTACAGGCCTCGTCAGCTCAGCACAACGATAGTTCAGACGACCAGGAAGCTCATCACCCTCCTTCTTCTTGCTCCTTTCCACCCTCCCATCTCAGCTTCTTCTTTCTCCTCTCACTCTGACTCTAACACATCTCACAGACCTCTCTGTCAGCAGCAGAGGCAGCAACAGACACAAAGCAAACTTTAGAACTGTACAGCTGAGAGAAAAGGTAGGAGTAAAAGTTTTTTTTTTCTAGAGAATTCCCCAAGTGGTTTTATGTACAACAAGATGTGTCTAACACAACGTTTCTGATGACTCAGATTACGGTATTTTACTCTGAAGACAGAAACACCAGTATTTTTACAACTTTTCACAGTGAAATATATAAGGAACAAGATCTGTAGATGAAGGTACAATCTTTAGGCACAGAAACTGAGAACTTTGAGAAAGAGAAGCTTCAGGGTCCTTTTTTTGTTCACAAAGCTAACTGAAGACCAGCATCCACGACAGAAGACAGTGAAAGTCAGAGCAGCTTGAGAGTTGGAAGGACAGAAGACCAAACGACCAGAGCCTCGGAAGAACGTCCGATATCACTTAGTTGGTCTGAAAAGTATTATTATAATTTGTCTTTGCCCGTTTATGCAACAGTGACAGGTTGATAAGAAGACACAGAGGCATCTGTGACTGCTGTAGACAGCTCAGTGTTTTATTGGAATCAGACCAAGCAGGACTAGCCTGGCTGTTGCACTACATTTTGGCACAGAGTAAGATAAAGAAGTGTGAGCAGAAACAGCCCTACCTCTGGGTGATTAAAGCTTCACTACACACAGACTCTACTGCACACAGAGCAACCAGCCTGCCTTCAGACCACTGTACAGTACACGCAGCAACCGTCCTACTGTGTGTGTGTGTGTGTGTGAAGAAGTAACGGAGTCTGTATGTGGTGATCTGTGTGTGTGTGTTTAAGATAAGAGGTAATTCTGCTGGTTCTCCACATTTCTTTTCACCTGGCTGTAACAGACCTAGAATAGTATAGTTATAGTATAATACACAAAGGTTTCCTCCAGATACACTTTACAATAATAATAATAATAATAATAATAATAATAATAATAATAATAATAATAAAAAGGAGAGATAGAGAGAGCAATAAGAAAGTAAAGCCATTCTTGAAAAAAGCTAAAGTCAGTGATACAGCTGCTGCAGGTGGAGAAAGGGGAATCGGTGCTTTTGAGGCGAGGGAGGAGGAGGAGGGGTGGAAATACTGACGGTAACTATAGAAACAGAAATGCTGAAGACAATAATTCACACTCCATCAGGAGAAGTAAAGTCATGCATTCACACAGAGAAAAATGTACATTCACAGGCTGAAGAAGAAGAAGAAAAAAAAAAAAAAGGCCCACAGCTGGCACATTCTGGCCAGCAGGAGGGGCGAGCAGATGGATGCACTGGTTGAAGAAAAAGCAGGCTCTCGCACTGCTACACCTGTAACACTCTGCTCCACATAATTAGTTCAATAGCCTGTATCTTATAAGCTCGACATTCACTTTGTACACAGAAGAGAGGAGGACGTGAGGACAGCAAGATCGCACAACAGTCGCACAACAGTCATTCCGCACACACAAACCAACACAAATAAAAATACTTTTTTTTAAGAAAAAAAAAACAAACAAAAGGGACAAAAATTCAACACGTGAACAAACGAAAAAACATTAAAATATATAGATAGTCGGGGTATTGCACAAAGGGTGTTTGGCCCTAACTGGTCCACATTAAGGACAGTAATAACACAGGTGCTTGTCCATGCGCCAGCACTCTCCTTAACTAATAGACAATACATCACAATACAGCCACTCAACACAGGCTATATACAAGTACACCTCTGCAGCAGCACCACAGTCCACGTGTGTATAGGCGCTGCACAGGGGAGCAGTGTGTGTGTGTGTGTGTATCTCTGTGTGTGTGTGGTTGTCTGAGAATTAGCCCGAAGGCTTCAGAGAACAGGTAAAATCTGAGGATTGTACAGAGTATGTGTGTGTGTGTGTGTGTGTGTGTGTGTTAGATTCTGTGCTAAAAGTGTGCACATGGGAATGTGCAGACGCATGTGTTCATATTCATAGTCATAGTCATATTCATAACAAACCCACGCAACAACAACAACAACACAATGCAGTAAATAATAGTCCAAAAGTAACAACGACAAATAGCTTCAAAGTAAAGGAGTGTGTCTGTGTTTGTGTGTCCGTTTTCTAAAGGGATTCATGGCTCTACGAGTGTATGACTGTCAGCGTGTGTGCAGGTGTGTGTGCTGTTGCTTTCGTGTGTGTATGTGTGTTAGGTCTGTGTCTCCTCAGGAGCACAGTAGGAGAAGTCCTTGAACTCCTCCTGGTTAATCTGTCGGATGATGGCCTCCTCTGTCGGCGTCAGCACCGGGTCCTCCTTAGTGAAGTCCTGGTCGAAGTTATTCACATCTCGCTTTGTTTTCTGCAGAGGACACACACACACACACACACACACACAGTGAAAGCGAGAATGAGAAAAAAAAGTGAAAAAAAAATGTGGTAAGACCACAGCGATCTCTTCAGGTCACTGGGGTGTACTACTATTTTTCAAACATTTTACCTTTAACATTGTATGCAGGCCCATAATGTGATTATACTTTTGTCCTGGTTTACACGTTACTTGGTCAAGTGAGTATTAGATAATATTCAATCAATGCTAGTTTAAATACAAGACCATAAATGTCTGTAAATGGAATAGATTCATTGAATTGAATCATTATTTATTTAATGCATATTAAATTATTATTTCATATTTTACATTTTAGACTTTGAAGGATAAATTAAAATTCAAAATAAAATGTTTTTATTCTTTCCATTCAGCCCAGTACCAAATGATCCAGAACTGGTCCCCAGCCCAGTGGTTGGACCAATTATTGTAACTGTTAAGGTGTGGAGAAGGTCAAAGCAGATTGTGAAAACGCTGGCTGAAAATGCTACAAAATTACTTTTCATGTCAATTAATTTACATCGTCTGTGCTCTAGGGGGCGACACTTACTTATGATAAATGCAGTTGTGGTTTTATTGAAAAGCCTGGAAAATATGGTTGTTAAAATAATGCAGTAAAATTGGTGTATGTCTTACAATACGGGGTTTAAAGGGCGGTTTGACTTTTCTCTGCTCCAGCAGAACCCAGTCGATCTCTCTGAAGAACGGATGGGTCTTGATGGCCTCCTCACAGCCCTGGCTCACCACACAGCCCAGACGCTTGGCCGGATTCTTAGTCATGAACTGCACAGAAAAAGAAACAGAAAAAGACCACTCTCTTATTTCTTCTCAATCCTTTTAACAAAGCAGCTTCAGGATGAGGTTTTGTGCATAAACCGATGAGGACAGAAAGAGCTGAGCAAAAAACATTAGGGTTAATGGTACGCTAATGACAGAGCTGAGGCTTTAATGGCTGAACGATAACAACATGAAGGCAGGATGATGAAACAGCTCGGCAGAGAAGGATGTGTCAGGTTCATTTCTCTGCGTCGTCGATGGACTTTGCTTTTGTCATGCAGATTCATAATCTCTGCACCAGAGAAATAATGGTAATCAAAGAAAAAAGCTAATTCAGCACTAACATATGGAGTGTGATAGCTAGTGCCGTGTGACTACGCAGTGAATGGACGATGGGTGTTTTTTTAATTTGTCAAAATGAAAAATATGGAATTACACAATTCTGACTGATCCCTGAATGACTTTAGGCAGCACGCTGATAAGAACGACCAGATTCACTCTTGAAGACAAGTTAATAGCGACCAAACAGTCGGATAATCAAATAGAGAAAACGTTCAACGTGCTGTGTCTGTGTGGAGACGGCACGTACCGCACGCAGGATTGAAACAGCCTCTTTGCTGAGCCACACGGGGTACAGAACGTCGTCGTGGAGGATGGACTCGAACAAGTCATCTTCATTATCTGCCTCAAACGGAGGCTGTCCTGCCATCATCTCATACATCAGCACCCCGAGAGCCCACCAGTCCACTGAGGCACCGTACTCCAGCTCCTGCAGTATCTGAGCGTTCAATGGCGTAATAAAGATGAACACAAAGGACATGGTTTTGTTTTTTAATCTGAGCATCAACTAAAAATTACTTTAATCAAATCCTGCTTAAGAGTCAGAGAAAGAGAAAATGTGAAACACTTAAAAAAACACTCTTCAACAGAACGCTGTTGATAATTCCACTGCTTTAATTATGCCTTAAAGCTGTATGTCTTAAAAAGTGTGCCTAATATTATAAGTGAAGACAACACAGAGCAGTCTGAATGTGAAAACAGACTGGAGTGTAAACATCATTTTAAAAAGAATCAGGAAAATCTGAATATCTGAATTTTTTTTTTTTTTTTCCCCAGTACCGCCTCAGACTAAGTCGTGACCTTCGTGCTCATCTCACCTCTGGTGCGATATAGTCAGGTGTTCCACAGAAGGTGGTAGTGGTCACCCCGTTAATTATGCCCTCTTTGCACATGCCAAAATCTGCCAGCTTGCAGTGTCCCTCAGCGTCCAACAGGATATTATCAAGCTTCAGATCCCTGAGCGAGAGAGACGTGACGTGAGATAAAGAGAGCGAGAAAGAGAGAGAGGGAGAGACAATCATCACCATCTGGTTTCCACAGCAGTCATCCTAGCAGCAAGTGATCAAGCTATGTGTGAAAAAGCTAATTAGAATCCCCATGTAACGCAATTAAAATTGTGTCCTACACCTTCTGGTTTGGTACGTCTAGGTGAGCCCACTGGGTATGTCCTCATGGCCTTTGAGTCCTTTACATTCACGTCATTTTTCTCAATAATTTAAACCAGTGGTTCTCAAACTGTTGTACGTGTACCGCCAGTAGTACGCGAGCGCTCTCTAGTGGTACTCGGGGAAAATTCACATTTTCACATCCACATTTTCAACGGAATAAATCTGAAACATCCCATGCACAATTAATACAACATTTAAACATAAACATCTTTCTAAGCATTTCTAAACATCTCTCCTGTGGTGGAAGCTAACAGTGAAGGCCTACGCTGCTATATGCTAATGTTGGTCATCATGGTGGTACTCAGAGAGCTCCATGTTTTCTCAGGTGGTACAGAGTAGAAAACGTTGGTGAACCAGTGATTTAGAATATCAATGTAGGTATAAACAGTAACCATTGAACAGTAAATATTATCTCACTTAAATACACCCAGCCCTGTGGTTTTTTCTTTTTTTTTTTTTTTTTATGGGGCTGCAGCTTTTTACCTGTAGATGACGCCATTACGGTGCAGGAACATAAGGGCCGAGGTGACTTCAGCAGCATAGAAACGGGAGCGAGGCTCATCGAACTTCCTGGACCTCTGAATCTGGAACATCAAGTCTCCTCCATTCACATACTCCATCACAAAGAACAAGCGATCCTGGAGAAAGAGAAGGAGACGAGGCTGTAAGACAGAGAACACAGATACCTGTGGGATAACAGGTCAGAAACTGTGTTCTGTCCTAACCCGGGTCTGGAAGCAGCAGTAGAGCTGGGTGAGGTAGGGGTGTCGGCGGGCGAGGGCCAGGATCCGCTTCTCAGTCATGGTACAGTCGACGTCATCATCCTGCAGGATGACGTCTTTCTTCAAAACTTTGACAGCGTAAACTTCCTCTGTGCCTTTCAGCTCTGCCAGCATCACCTGACAGGAAGGAAGAAAAAGTGGTGATGGAGAAGGAAATTAAAGTATGAAGGAGGAGAAGTCGTTGATCAGATGAGATTTTTTTTTTTTACAACCAGTTGTTGTGTACTCACAGGTGAGGTTAAACTAACTATAATAATTAATATGAGGTTAATTTAAAACACTTCATTTAAAAGGCAGTTGTGGCACTTGTCTTTGTGAAATAGTTTGTACAGTAAAATATCAACATATCTCTTCTCCTCGAGTCCCTGACATTTCCATCTGATTCATGGACAAAGAAAAGTTCTGAGCAGCGCATCAGGAGAAATTTTTGTGTGAGCAAGCAGCAGATAAAAGCCGGCACCGCACCTTGCCGAAGCTGCCTTTGCCGAGAACCTTGATGAAGTTGAAGTCCTTCAGCGTCCTCCTCTGATTCTGCCCATTCTCCCTGCTTGCAGACGAGGAGGACGTGGAGGAAGAGGAGGTGGTGGAGGAGGCTGAAGATGAAGAGGAGGAGGAAGATGAGGAGGAGGAGGAGTTTTGGGCCCCCTGCTGGTCGAGCGACAGCACGTCCTGCAGGCGATCCAACTCTGCCAAGTCTGTGGGTGTCAGCGGAAGAGCAGATCAGACAGCAGTGAAAACAGATCTGACTATCCTTTTTCCTGTCACTGCTTGGCATGAAATTCAAAAATGTCTGTTGAGAAACAGGTTTCAGCAGAGGTTGAACACTTGATCTAATTCTATCTTTAAATGAAATTGCAGTAATGGTGTTATCCTCAAAGCCTGGCTCAAAAGAAAATTGGGATTCCTTCCATGCAGAGAAAGTAAACTTTTGGTCTGTGAAGTGTGAGAGCATGATGACTAACTAACAAATGCTGGTGGGTGGTGAAGGATACATTTTTACTGCGGGTAATTCATGCTTCGTCTGACTGTTCTATACATAAGTTCTGAGCCTTTCCTGCTCTCTATGCTTTTTACCAAAAAAACAAGCAAAACAAATGTCTTAAATACAGAAGAATAGGCTTTTTGCAATCCTGTTGCTGTTATAAACGTCCTGAGCCCACGGTAGGTAAGAAGACAGTGGCAATATGTTGTTTTGTGGACAACGAGCTGAACATTTAGTGTGACATAGTGTAAAATGGTTAAAAATAAAAATCTGACTCTCAAAGGGTCTGAGATGTTTGTGTGTCTGTGTCAAATCTTGAGGGCGTGTGAGTTGTGGTGAGTGTTACCCTGCTGCGAGGGGGAGGTGGGGACCGCCGGCTGACTGAAGCTGTTCTCCTCACTCTGAGAGAGCTCAGGAGGAGACTGAGGAGGGTCCTGCCCTGGAGTCAACTGCAGAGAGACAACGTGGCCATTCATCAGTCACCTTCAAGACACACTGCTGGGAATTTAGCACCACCTAATGGTGATGTTGGTGTTTAAGAATGTTTCAGTTATGAATGAACTGAATCCTACTTCAACTAAATTTGCAGAGCATCAAACCTGGAGAAGAAAACTCTACAGGATCTTATTGGACGTTAACACCACACATTTTTCTATTTTTAAAATGAACACATTGGCACGTGGGGTAGCATCAGCAAAAATTGAACTCGAAAGATTTTACCTTCCTCCTGCGTTGTGCAGTGTTTGAGATCTTGTCAGGTGTGACCCCCAGGTCAGACAGGACCTTAGCAATTCCTCGAGCGTCCACGCCACAGTTGGGAGCTACATTTGTCTCACAACGTCTGTGCACGTTCATCTTGCACACTGGCAAAGAGCAAGAACACACAACAGGGTTCAGAGGGAGCTTTTCTACAGATGGGGTTTATCATGCCTCCCTAACACCGGAGGTGGTCACAGGGTATGACCTCTGTTTAGCATGTAGCCTTCCTTTACCAAATCTGATTAGAGTATTGTGTCAATTACCTTATTTTGGTATTTAAAGCTCTCCGCTGGTGCCAAAATAACAATTTAAAAAAGTTTTAAAGAACTGTTAGCTCATATTCCTGTACTTGGTTAAAATATTTATAAAAATGTGCTCTTTGACTCCTGGCATTAAATCCCATAAATGTTCTCTGTACGTGCGTTAACACATTTCCTGTTACCGAGTTTTCCTGCTCTGGAACAGACAAGTAGCAGTAAAAAAAAAGAAAAATCTTTGGCAAAGACAGACGTGGTGTTGGTAGTTATTAATAAGCACCAACATGGTGTTAGTTCAATTGAAATTTATTGAACATGAGGGGTTTTCTTTCTTGTGTGTGTGTGTGTGCGTTAGGCATTTAAATCGAATGAATCTAAGGCCTGTGTGTTGACTCACCTTTGCACTGCAGACCCTGCCTCAGCAGACCCCACAGCAGGGAACCACAGTGGTCACAGAAGGTGAGCACCTTGTAGTTGTGGATGCTGAACTTATGGGGAATGTTAACACTGAAGCGCTGGGAGCCCACCTGCAGAGCCCCACAATCACCAATGTTACAAATGGACCGAGTGGAACACAGGTGTGTGTATCTGTGTGTGTGTGTGTGTGTGTGTGTGTGTGTGTGTGTGGGTGTGTACCTCCTCCGGTGTGTCCTCCTGTTTTTTCATTCCAGCACACTTGGTGATGATGAGCTCATGACAGCGTTTATGGACGACACACGTACACACTGAAAGCAGAGCATAATGATCATTGATGACGATGAAAGATGTGTTTCCATGGTAACTCTTACATTTGCTCATATATCACTGTAGAACGTTTATACTGAATATTGTTAGTGAGGGTCTTCTGTCCAAATCACAGCTGTCAGTCAGTGAGATGTAATCCCTCTTGTGTTCTCATGTTTAAGTAATGAATGCAGTGCGATGTCACCTGAGAAATTGGACGTGGCCATAGAAAAGTACTCACCCTGACACTGGTATCCCTGCTTCCCCAGCACGCCCCTAGATCACACACACACACACACACACACGCACACACACACACACAGAAGTCAGTGGTTCACACGCATTTGTTTTTTTGTTTTTTATTATCATTAGTCGTCAAAATTTCATTGCTGGCTGCTTTAACTGGTATATCATTACAGTAGATATCCAATCAGAAGCAAGGAAACTAATTAAACAAAAGTTTCCAAGAAGAATCAACCTGACGGTTTGTGTTTGTTTTACCTACCATATGAAATCTCTGCAGTGTGAGCAGTAGGTCGGTTGGCGCAGGTAGGTGGCCATGAACTTGTGTCCGTTGACCTGGTGGACACGTCTTCGGACAGCACCCTGTCGTCGGCGAGGGCCGATCCTCTCTCGAAACGCTCGCTCTTCATTGTCATTGGTTCCCGAGGCTGTAAAAGAGGTGAAAAGGATCAAGTATCGTATATATTGATCTCTGAAGTCATCTGGGGGGGGAGTAATTATTAACTATGTTGATTATTTGATATTATTATTATTTGATAACTCCGTCATTACATGTAGCTTTGAATCTGAGCGGGTTTTTTTTCCTTTTACGTTTTCATCACGCTGCTCCAGACGTTTAATCATTCAATGGCCTCTCATCTTCCTTTTCCTCCCTCCTGCTTCCTCTCGACACCCCACACCTACCAGAGGTCTATACACACATATGTGCATGTGTCTGCTATTTATACATTCATGTGTGGGCACTGAAACGAAGGACAGCATATTCCACCAAGCCTTCCTCTCTGCATCGCCCCACTTACATGAATGCTTTCTGAGGATAACCTTAAGACAAGAGAACCACCTCCACTCTCACTCCCACACACTCCTTCACGCCGCGCTGCTGTCCTAGTTACTCTTTCACTCACCCTCCATCTCTCCCCTGGGTGAGTTACAGAGGTGGTTAATGCTGAGCCTCTCCAGAGTTCGATTACAGCAAGGCTGTCTATGGAGCCTGCGCATGTGTGTGTGTTTTGGTGACAGTGCTGCTGTTGAGGATGGTGGGGGCTGAACAGGCCATTACTAGGATCACTTTGTTTTACATAATACATCATCCATCTGTCCAAGACACACACAAACACACAAGACACAGACGCAGGCATGTTCAGCAGCAGGTGTGATGATGTGTTATGACAGTCAGAAGTGATCGTCCAGGAGACAGACGTACTCTGAACCTCCTGAGTGACCGCACGGTGGCTGGTGGGCCAATAGACTAAGACCACACACACACGCAAGAGATGGCAGGGAACCAAAGGACGGGGCGGGGGACAGAGAAAGGCCACACATCGATAACAATACAAACTTGTCAACCTGTGCTGTCAAATGATTTGGTTCTAATATGCAAGGGTCCAAATACACCACTTTAGAGTTGAATGAGCTGAAGTTGGATGGGTGGTCTTAATAATTTGATCTATTTGGGTATAAATTTAGGGTCATTTGTGGAAAAAAAAAAGAATTCTAGAAAGTAATATAAGAAAAAACTTTTGGCTTGACTGTCTACAAATAAATACATGTATATATATATATATATATATATATCTATACGTATTTACATTACAGGCCTGAGAAGACTTTCTTAAGTGCAACATATTTCCCTGCCAAATATCATAAAAGCAAAGAATTCTGCCCCACCCGAACACCAAACAACCCCTTCAAACACCACATTTTTCGGTCTTCTAATTTGTGCAGCCAGTTTTAATAAGTTTTACACACGCTAGGCTTCTCTGCAGCCAGTGCTTCATATATGACGAACACGAATAGCATGAATAGGCTGGTGCAGGTGGTCATATTGAGTCTGATTATAATCGGCTTCCGAAACAAATGTACAGATGTAAAAGGATGCAGCAGTGAAGGGGAGAAGAAGCAGGGAGGAGTGGAGCACGTCCTTCCTACTGCTGAAGCTGCAGGGAACAGATTGCACCAAGGGAGAAAAATAAGTGAGCTAAAAATACCAGCTCTTATTCTAGATCTCACCCTGTATCTCTCCATCCTTCCTATCTACCCGTGCGCACACAAACACACACACAGACACACACACACCATTTGTTTTTATCGGCACACATTAACATGACGAGCACTCAGGCCTGCTGAA